CACCCAATTTCCAGGTGATGAGAAAGTTTGTTTTTTCAAGTTCTGAGCATCATACAGGGGGCCAGTTAGCTCGGTGGTTTGAACACGGTGCTGACAACAATGACCAACACCGAGGTCGCGGGTTCGATTCCCGCTCGGTCCCCATGTGTTGCCTGGTCTAATCGAGAGGTGGCGTCCCTGCCCATGACAGGGAGGTTGGATTAGATGATCTCTAAGGTCCCTTCCAGCCTATGCCATTCTATGATACAGAAATCCTCACAGTAGCTAAGGTGTCCCTTCAGGATTGCATATTCTGAGGTAAGGAGATTTTCCCTGGGCTGTATGTTTAATTTTAAAGGGGCAAAAGCCTGGATCTGCAACCACCCTCACAACTAACCAAGCATTTGAGGAGTTCTGTGGCAGCCCAGTCTTCCGGGCTGGCCTTTCTCCAAGCAAATGAGATCTGAATCATAGAATCATAAAGGTTGGAAAGGACCTTAAATCATCAAGTCCAACCTACAGCCCTACACCTGATGTAGCTATCCTGGATTATAAAGCTGGAATCCACATCTGCATCCAAACTTTATTTATTATAACTATCTTCCATTATATTTCCTTTTTTTTTTTCCCAAACAACATACATAGAATATCATAACTAACATGGAGGCTGTTGAAATATATGCTAATCTGTGAACTTCAAGCCAAACTTTCTTTGGGTTCTCCTTCTGTATTGATGCTCAGAACCTTACAGCTATTTGCTAATTGTAGACTGCTTTTTCCAACTTCTTTTGTTTCAGCTCAAAAAGGAAACATGACAATGGTGACTCCGCAGGTACTCCGTAGAAAAAACAATATTTTACTGAATCCTGGGTAGTTTTTTGTTATGTGAATAGCAAGGCTGTGTCTGCAGAAATTATTCTATGCCGTTATTCTGAATATTTTATTAGTATACGCTAAAAATGAAAGTGACAAGAAATAATGAAAATCATAATTAAAGTTAGCTGAATTTTAATTTGGCATTTTGCCAGCTAAATATTTTTTTTCAAACCCGTTGCAATGGCTGCTGATTTTGAAGGTGCTTTTTTTTGAGTTCTACGGGGATGGCATTTGCAATAATACTGCTGTATCAGCAAAACTACCAATACAGGTATTTTACTTTTTATCTTGCTTTATAGCCCTTTATACAAGGCCTTCCTATAACAGTTCTGCAGTGGCATTAATTTCATAAAGGTCCTGAAGGTCATTTTTATTTTCAGTCAAATAACAATATCTGAGAATTTTAATGATGCTCTTGCATTAGTGTTATAATATTCAGAATTGTTATAAAATTCAACAATGTATGAAAATGTCATCGCTAGGGATGAATGAAACAGCTCATCTGAAGATGAAAATCAGCCCAAATCTCCGCAGGTGTTCAAAAAACTTACAGTAATTTCATTTTGTCTCCCCTACCTACACTTCTCAGGTACTTCTACAAGTTCCGGTGCCTGAAATATCATTATAATTGATTTTTCTAGACAAAGGAAGTGCTTAGAGCTAATTATCTATACTTAAGTACAGCATTTGGTACAGTGCCATGTGACAACTTATGAGCTAAAATGTAAAAAATTGAAAAGTGAATAGCAAAGTGAGTAGTAAGGGAAAAAGATCAGTATTAAGGAAGGCAGTAGAGCTTCCCAAGCATTCGTCTTGGACCTGTTATTACTTAACGTTTTTTATTAATGATGATCTTATAAAAAATAAGTGTCTGCTAATGGAATTTACCAGTGGCATAAGGGAAGGAGGTACTGTCACTGAAGAGACAAATAAAACTCTCATTTAGAAGGAACTGAGTGACCTTGAGGACCAGGGTAGGGTAACTTGGATGAAATTCAGAAGGATCTGAGTGCAAGTTCATGCACCTGGGTCTTGTTAACCAGGTTTCTACTATACCTGCATGCTCATGGGTAAGAAAAGAATAAGGAGGGAAAGGACACAGAATGTACAGAGCAAGGTATTTTCACCAGGATAATGAAACACCGGTAATGGTGTATGAGGCATGCATTTAAAAACCAGCCAGAATAGTGCATGCTATTCCCAAATGATTGATTCACTTTCGGGAAGCTAACAAAAAAGTGACCACGGGAAGGACGTGCCTTAAGTGTGAGAGGAGTTAGCAAAATGAAGGCTGAGGGAGGCCGCTATAAATACCACATGGGCATAAGCTCCAGGAAGAGAAAACATCTATTTTAACTAAAGGACAACATTGGCACACGAACAAATGAGTATAAATTGGTCATGAATAAATTTAGGATGGAAATTGGAAGCAGGTTGCCAAACAAAGAAGTAACAATGTTCTGCAATTGCTTTCTAGTGAGAACAGTGGGAACAACAACAACAAAAAACACGTGCTACTTTTAAGACAGAGTATAATGACTTTCTGAAAGGGATTCTATGATGTGTTTGGCTAAGATAGCAGGGAAGTAGACTTGATGACCCAAGAGGTCTATGCAGGCCTAGCTTTCTAAGCCTATTTTTTACAACCAAGTACTTCATAGCACTTTTAAGCGCTTCCTTTCCTTCATGTATTTTTTTAGATTTTTTTTTTTTATAGTAAACTGCAGGGACTGCTGGCTGGATTTAAGGAAGGCACAAAACTGTAGTGTCCACAATATGCTGAATATTCTCCAAAGACAAGTGTCCAGCATCCTACAGGGCAACATGGGGGACTTATGGAAAACACCATTTTCAGTGGAAGGCTATGGGGACTAATTGGTAATGTGGCAACTACGAGAGCATCCCATAGTAAAAAATCTTATGTTTTTCTTTTCTTTAGGTGAAATCTGATGAGTGGGACAATGAGATCTGCAGAACTGGATGATTGTGGTTGGTTTTCCTTTTCAGCTAACTACACAGGTATTCTTTCTAAAATCAACTGTTAATATTGAAAATAGGTTAAGAAATCTGAAAGCTATATGAAATCCCTAAGAGTACAGGTAGTTTGGCAAAAGAGAAGAAATAGGCAGCAGCTTTATGTGGGAGCTGTGCTTTGCTTACACCTGGCCACCGTCCACATTAATCACATGTGCAGCAGGCAGCAGCTCTACCTTTCTGTGCAAATTCTTCAACAACTGGTTTAAAAAACCAGGCAGGATAGCTGAGTCCCCAGGTTCACGTAAACAGGGAAACGAACACCTGCATAACAAGATAGAAAAGCCATAACTACAATGGTGGAAGTTTTCAGTCTTTTGTCAGCTGAGGTTTTCTGCAGCTTTCTCAGCCCCTCAGGTGCTGGGTGGGGAGGCAGCCACTCGCTGGGGTCTGCCTGCAGGGCAAGAGGCTCTTGGTGCCTCGGAAAGCTGGAGCTTTGCCGTCCGTGATTTTGGTCCAGTGCCTCATGCATGAGCTACGTGACAACTCATTGGTCCAAAATGTCCATCCCTCAGAAGAAAAAGCTAAAACTAGTTTGAAAAAAAGTTTTCAAGGAAAACCAGGTCAGAACTGGAAGACATGTGCTGTGAAATGATCAAGAGAAAATCTTTTGATTGATTGCAACTTAAAAAGAGCAGGCCTTTTTCTTGATGGGTTTTAATTTGATCTTTGTTCCTGAAATGTGTGTATTGAGAGAGCTTTTTTTTCACCCATCTTTAACTTCAGCCAGAACACAGCATTCTGTGAACACCTGGGTGAGATTATTTCATTCTGCCCTGTCCTGCTAGCAAACTCAATGTTAAACCAATAGTAAACATGAGCCACACTTATTGTAGAATCATAGAATTATTCAGGTTGAAAAAGTCCCTTAAGATCGCTGAGTCCAACTGTTAACTCAGCAATGCAAGGTCCACCACTAAACCATGTCCCTGAGCACCACAGCGAATACCTCCAGGGACAGTGACTCCACCACTTTCCTTGGTAGCCTGTTCCATTGCTAACAACCTTTTTGGTGAAGAAATTTTTCCTACTATCCAATCTAAACCTTCCCTGGCACAACCTGAGGCCTTTTCCTCTCGCCCTGTTGCTTGTTACTTGGGAGGAGAGACTGACCCCTCCACCTTGCTACAACCTCCTTTCACTGCCTGGTCTCCTCTCTGTGGGGCTGCTCAGCGCCAGGACATGCTCGTTTTTCCCACAGGTGGAAATATCTACAGGGACATAAAAGCACATTTTCAACCTGTTTGCCAACAGACCGATTTGCAGGCATGTGAGTATGGGAGCTTTCAAGTGACAAGCGTACAGAGGAAATGTCTGTGACCACAGCAGGTGAGAGAAATGGCTTTTTCAGACCTCTCTCTGGGTTTTGGCTGCCTGCTCGTGCACTACATCAAGGCAGCAGTGTCACCAATGGCGTCAGGAAGGATGTGAGGGGCCTCCTTACCTGCACCAAGGCAGTTGCCTGCCCCCAAGCAGAGATAATGAGCACCCTTGACATTAACAGTGATTAAACACCACCGAAGCCTATGAAAATAACCACTCATGAAGCAAATCAGCTGGGGGCCCAGCACCTGTGGGCGCTGGACCAGCTGCCATGGAGCAGGGGCCATGCTTGGCACAAGTGGCCTGGCCGTGCGAGGCCAGAGAGGCGAGCTCGCGTCCTTTGATTTCTCACCCCTGGTAATTTTAAAAATAAGAGCTTAAAAAATAATACCTGCTCTTCAGAGGGTTTTTAGGGTCCTGCTTCTCCCTTCTTTGTACCCCCTTGAGATGTTCCTGATCTCCCTGCCCCAACCCAGGGCAACCGTCAGCTCTGCAGGCGTCGTGCCCTTCATCATGTCCCCTCTCTGCTGAGGCTGTGAAATGGCACCTCTGCGCTTGGGCTACGATGCCGTGAGGATGTTACAGCCTTCAAAAAAAGAAGAAAAGGGGTGCTTGTTCCTCACTCTTCCCTCAGCTCTGTCTCTCCCCGTGTGGAGGCTTCTGAGGTGTGAACACATCCTGTTTACGCCGAGACGGAGATGCTGAGGGGCGGGAGCACAGGGGCTGAGGAGCAGTCGGAGGCAGCGCGAGCACAGGGAGAGCTGCCTGCACCTGGCGACGGCCCCACCATGGACGCGCTGCCCATCTACCATGGGGGCATCACCCGTGAGGCTGGTGAGAAGCTCCTGCTGGCGGCGGGGGCTGATGGCAGCTACCTGCTGAGGGACAGCGAGAGCATCCCGGGAGTCTACTGCCTCTGCGTGCTGTGAGTGCGACCGTGCCGGGCAGGGAGCGGGGTGTCAGGAAGGGCAGGTGGTGGCTGATTTCCACCATTCATGTCTACTGTACAGCGTGTTCCCATGTAACAGTGACAAAATAAGTCCGTTTGCAGACATGTGGTAGACTTTTGGCTCCTTCACCTTGACTTAGGGCAGGGGTGGGTATAAGGGATGTGTGGTCCTTTGCAGAACGAGGAGGAGCAGGTTTTTGCCTTGCAGAGCCCATGCTTCCTACAGGCATAAAATGAAAAGAGAAAGTGGGCCTGGAGCATTTAGGAAGGATGAGCGAGGTGCCAGGGAGAAGAGCCAAACCACTTAGGATGGTGTGTGCTGCTTCATGGTGCTGGATACTCTTGCTTTATGCCTGCTACCTTCTGCTTCTCTGATGTGCTCACGGGAGTGCTTAGCAACATCCTCAGCGTCCCCTGTCACTGGGAGGGGTAGCGTGGATCACTGTCATCCAGAAAGTGCCTTTCCTTCGAGCTGCTTTCAGTCAGGCTGTGTGTCCCACAAGCTCTCAGGCTTGGAATAAAATAACTATCAAGTATGTGAAATACTGATAGGTAATGAACTAAGTGATAATATTACATCAAAGAGGGTGAAAGGGGAAAGATATGATGGGGTGGTCCATCAGAGAGAGGATAGAGGGGTTTGCTTGAGAGAGCTGGGGGACTTTTTAGTCATAGGACCTCATTTTAATGACGCAATTTAAGTATCCTACTTTTGGCAAAAGCAGAAATCTTGAAAGTCCTGAGAGATAATGCTGTACAATGAAGTACCACTGCATCTAAAGAACAAGGATGTATCTACCAAGACTAGACACACACTTAGAATCACAGAAACATAGAATTGTCAAGGTGGGAAGGGACCTTAAAGATCACCTAGTTGCACCTTACTTCAGTAGGGGAAGGAATGCAAGTGAAAAACATTTTAGGGCCAGCAACAAATTAGCTAATAGAGTGCACTTATGTGCCTGGAAAGAAAAAAACCAAACTGAAGAAGAGTCCTAAGTCAGATTTTTCCCCAAATGTCTTGAATATGTTTCCAACAATATGTGATTAAAGCCTAAGTGAGCATTATTTTTCCCTTGTTGTAGACCAGTAAATGGAGGCATGCAAGAAAGTGATAGGCAATCCAGAAATGCACAGTCCTCTTTTCAGCGAAGATGTCCGGGGCAGAAGATGTGGTTTTCCTTCTCTCATGAAATCAGGTGAACCAAGATAGGAACTACTGCTAAGAAATACCTTATCAGCTAGCTGAAAAATGGGAAGCAAGAAGCATCTTGAGTTAAATGAAAATGGAACAGACATAGCAAAAAGTGAAGAGTGCTATGATTCCTGTGATGGGAATAGGCAATAAAAGCAGAATTTCTTTTAAATAACCATCAGAGGAAATGGTGATATATCTTCTTAACACTCAGAAGTGCAGGCGAAAAACTAAGGCATTAGAAAAAGGGTCAGGCAGAATGTTACGATGTTGAATAAAATAAGAGAATCTTGAAATTAGTCCACCATTAGTGTAAATCAGGATGTAGGTAGGTAACAAGGTCTTTCATCTCCACACAATCAGTTGGGTTTTTTTGCTATATTAGTGGTAATTTACATCCTTTGGAAGAAATTTCATGAATGAAATAAAATACAAAAAAAGCAAATAGAAAGCTAACTATGAAGCTCTGCAATCTCTGGAGGAAAAGAAAAGAGACTTCAGTAAGAAACAGAATCCTACCTAATTGTTTCTGGAAATTATGGCCACCTGTGTCTTCATGTTATGTTGCATTCAAACATATATATGATAAGAAAATGGGTAGAAGCAAAACTGGTTCGTGTTTTGCAGGCTTCTTACAGAATACAGATCCTCAGTAAATTTTTATAAGGGAAAATTTCAATAGCATCTTGGGTAAATCCAGATAAAAATATTAAATGAAAAATTTTATGATGAGTATGATCTGATATAGACAGAAAGGTGGCTGAAAAATGCTAGAGCTAAACCTTGGCTCCAATGCCGCTTGACATTTCAATTCAGAGCATTACTTTAGAAATAGCAGATACAGTAAACAACATATCACACAATAACTTTGGAGACAGTTATCATAAAGATACCACGAAACGGTCTCACACTGAAGATAGCAATGACAGTCTAAAGAAATGTGAGCCATAAACTAGAGAAGTGCTTTGACAGGCAAAAGTTTACCAAAGCAGAGCACTTTAGCTGAGAGATTGGAGGAGCACGTAGGGAAGCCATGAGAGATGTAGATATATATATATTCAGTGGAGGATGCTAAACCTGGCTTTGGAAAAATAAACCAATGGACACCACACACCCAAATTCCAATCTGAACATCATGCACAGAGATGAAAGAGTTGGCAAGCACATACATGCATAGGAGCTTTGGTGAAAACTGAGGGAAATATGCAGTTGATGTATTCACTGTTTAAGAAAGAGTAAGTATTATATTTTTTTTAAAATACTTTCCTCATAAGATATAATGGAAATTATTAGGAAAAACAAAGTTATTCAGAAATTTACATTTTGTTTCTGAATCCATGCTGTAAGATCACTCTAGGAATATCTAGATATATCAAGATTAGGCAAAACACATATTTACTGGAAGTAGTGAAGTGATCTTTAAAACATGAGAAACAAAGCTGATCAGCCATTAGATATATTGCAATAAGTATCAGAACTAAATAAAAAAATTAGATCTTCCTAATGACAATTTCTAACAGAAGTGAAATTGTTTCATACTGCCAGCAATGTTTCTATTGCTCTTAGAAATGAAAAAGAGAAAAATAGTCCAGTTTTCCAAAATCAAAACATGTTCAGTTTGTCTTCTTTCTCCTTTCCCAGTATTTCCCTGGAGAAGTAAAATAAAACAAACCTACCCACCCCCAGCTCTCCAAGGCTTCCTAGGCTGCTTCTTTTTCTATTTCTTTTTTTTTTTTTTACCCTGTGGGAAGAAGGGAGTTGTCAAAATCAAAAGGCATAGTTCAGATAAAGAGAAAAGAAACATTTATCAAAAAAGTCATTAAATAAATATTTGCATGACAATACTGACATCAGCTTGAACTCACAAATTTGGCCGCTGTACAATTCCAAGTACGGTAACTGGTAAGCCCCACAATTGCCACTGCATTGCTTAGGCTGAAACAATGCCTCCTTTTTCCAAGAATCTGCATAAATTTGTAATGCCAACACCACACCCTCCCCCCCCTCCCCGAGCACCCCTAAAAAGCCCTCATGTATTTTGTCAGTCTTTGAGCCTCTTAAAGCATGCAAGAAGGGCAGCGGTGTTCACAGTCAGGCTCATTCACCTTTTGCTTTTCCAATTAAAAAGTGGAGCCATGACCTTTAAAAACGAGAAGATTCAAAGGCTTCATGAATCCCTTGTGACTGACACAGATTTTACAGGGCAAACATAAAAGAGACAGGTGGTAGCATAAAACCTGACCTACAGAGACGGGTAGTGGAGGCAGGCAGGACTCTGTTGTTGGACTGTTTGGCTAGAAAAGTGTGTTTCTCTCTTCTTTATTTCTCCTGAAATATTGCTTTACCTTCTTTACCGCTTCCTTCCACTGTCTGAAGTCACCAGGTACACATGGCATGCCTGCAAGCCTTCAAAGAGAGAACGGTGTTTTGGTGTGGCTGTGGCAAAGCACAAAGGACTCAATTTCATAAATATTTTAAGACCACAATTAAACTACCCATGGAAGAGTAGAAAGGTTTTGATTTGCAGTGTCCCCTGGGCCTCTTACAAACAGAGGTGCTGCCTGGGGATTTTGGCAAATTTTTTAATAGCAAATATTCCCAAGGTTGTCATTGCATGAATACCATCATTAAATGTACTATTAATAGGTACTTTAAGGATGTTGTTCATTGTGCTTTGAATGTGTCAACAGAGAAGAACAATTTTTTCCTGAAAATTTTTTAGGGTTGCATTGAAAAGCAAGAAGATGATTGTGGTTGCTGAAAACTGGGCTAGGAGATGTTAAACACTACATGAAGCACACCAGGGTTTTAGTATCAAAACCTGATTGTTCCAGGGAGCTTTCTTTACTGGTATGGTTTCCTCTTGCTCAATATACCCTTTGACGTTTTTAGCACCCTCAGAAATCTTCCTTGCACGTCGCTCCTAATGAAGTCAATGGGGGACACAGGCTACGATAATGGTGGCTGGTTTGAGAAGCAGCCTCTTAAACTGTGCCTGAAAAATGCATAAATAAAATGCCTGAGGGTGCCAAAAGCACTACTTTCTTGTCAGATATATGAGCACACATGCAGAAAGAGGCAGCTCATGCCTGAATTGGCAAAGATAAAACACTTGTAGTTTGGGTCTTAAAATGCACATACTTGAAAACACTTGGAAAGTTAGAAGTTATTTCAGAACTTTAAGTAAGCTAAACATGCCATACCTGTCAAACTGTATGTTCAGATTATTTGTTTGAACCCAGCCATTCATGTACTGTGATGTATTCAATTTGTGGAGAATAATCAGAAGCTGGAATACAAAGCTGCTCAGAGCTCACGAAGCAACAGTAATGGCAACAGGGATAGGCTGCACTTCTATCAGATTTTACATGTGCTATTTTTTCTGTCACCGAAACCACAGTGCATGAGTTCAGGCAACATGCTGAAACCTTCTGATGCAGCAGATATATCAGCTGTACAGGGTGAACGTGTGACACAGGATCACAAGGCAGCTTCAGCTTAACTTATCTTTTGTTTCCCATGTAATATTTTTTATAGAAATGGCAGAATAATTACATTTATTATAACATCACACATACTAATCATCATAATTTAAAACATAGTTTGAAATAAAAGCTTTTCTTGGAGAAGAAGCTCCTCTCTTCAAGGCTGTGTTGTAAATCACACACTATTTTCAGCTTTGAGAAGTCTTCTACAGCACAATAGATTCTACTGAGACATTTCTGCTCCTTGCTCATCAGAGCGAGCTTTATCTTTGCTGAGAGTAACTTGGCTAGTGGTC